TGAAAAACAAAAAACACAAAAGCAGCAGCAAGAGCTTCAGCAACAAACATGTGCTGCTGCTGCTGCTGCACTGATGAAAGTACCTCGATACGTTCGTAGAGCCTTTTGTGTTTTTTATTCATAACGGCCTTCTGCTGGTTTATCCGCTGCTCAGCTGCCTCCTCCTTTCGTCTGCATGCACAACAGAACATCCTGCTGCTGCTGCTGCTATTGCTGCTATTGCTGCTGCTGCTGCTGCTGCTATTGCTGCAGCTGCTGCTGCTGCTGCTGCTGCTAGGCACGACTGCACTGCATATACGGATGAAACGACTTACGATTTTCCAGCAGGTGGCGCTGGAGCAGTATTGCTGCTGCTGCTGCTGCTGCTGCTGCTACTGCTGCTGCTGTTGCTGCTGCTGCTCGAGCTGTTTGCACTGATTCCCTGAAAAGAAACCACAGTGTACATACACCCCAAATAAGCAGCAGAAAGCAGATGGAATTGGTGTTGCATTTGCTTTTGCTGCTGCTGCTGATGCTGCTGTTGTTGTTGTCTCGGTTGCTGCTGCTGCTGCTGCATTTGCTGCTGCTGCTGCCTGCCAGTAGCTGCTGCAGCTTAACGTAATGTGCTCAACAAATGCAGCACCAGGAGCACATGCAGCAGCAGCAGCAGCAAGAGCAGCAGCAGCAGCAGCAACAGCAGCAGCCAATGCAGCAGCAGCAGCAAATGCAGCAGCAACAGCAGCAGCAGCAGCAAATGCAGCAGCAGCAGCAGCAGCAGCAGCAGCAGCAAGTCTTGCCTTTGCTTCTGCTTCAACATCATCCCCCCGGTCTCGTCTCCACACCGCCTCTGGGTCTTCCGCCGGCCCTGCAGCAGCAGAAGGCATAGTGTTAGTTAAACACAGTCCATAAGGTATAAAGAAGAGCTCCGTTTTGGTCTCCAACTACACCAGCTACTGCTGCTGCTACTGCTGCTGCTGCTGCTGCTGTTGCTGCTGCTGCTGCTGCTGCTGCTGCTGCTGCTGCTGCTGCTGCTGACCACGAAAGGAGAGAGATGCGGGGGCAGAGTTTTTCCTGGTTCGTATTCTTCCGTCGGCAGCAGCAGAGCGTTGTTGATGCAGTCAAACACCCACTGCGGCTGCACGTACTCCCGCGCATGCAGACC